TAGTTTAAAATACCTATTTTCATTTTTTAGGCAATTCACTTTTTTTTTCAAATTAGATTCTTAATCATATACTCATGTATTGATTAATTATTTAGTTTAGTTAACAAACTACTGAAATTAGTCGGTGTTTATATTTTAATTTGTAATGTTTTTTATTATGTATTAAGGAGGATAAATAATAACTCAAAATGATGCGAATCGAAGATAGTCTTTTAAAATCATATCTAACCATGGTAAGTCATAAAATAATGTTTTGATTACAATAATATAATATAGTACGTAATGAATATTTAGAAATCTTGATCTGTTATAACGATTTGGTATTTACTCTTTCTTAAAAGGAAGAGTAAATATTATGAAGTTATAAAAAGGTTTAAAACACTTAAGTACAATCAGTAATGTGTTAGATTTTAATTACCTATCTATAAAAAAAAAAAAAAAATAAGTAACTTATAAATTATAAACGCTTAGAGGTGGACAGAACCGGCATAATAAAATCTTTCGGCATTCAGTGTAAGAATTATTTTGGCGTCTTTTCTTCTGTTCAAATTTAAATGTTGATACTTCTCACATGGCTTTCTAACTTTAGCATCTGTAGAATCACACATATTAATTATATCTAAAACCAGCCCTGGAAATAGTGTTCAATTTAATTTAAAAATATATAATATGTAATAATCACAAAACTATTATTCTAAAAAATAGAATGGATTTAGAGGTACACTTCTTTATTAAATTGTATAGAACTAAATTTATTACTACGATATATCATGTATAATATGGATATGGTTATAGATATACTATATTGAATATATTTGTTTTATACTTTTTAAATTATAAATATGTTACTTTACTACTTTAGGCATTCATTTTAGAATATTCTATACTAGTATGTTCTAAAATCAATGCTATAGGTTATTATGTACCTATTTATACTATAAAATAAAGTGTATAATTTTATATTTTTTTTTCACATTTAATACTTTATATCAATTTTATTTCAGTATAAATTTCCTGAAAATACAAAAAAAGAAATTATAAAAACGTTAAATTATTATCACGGACTCGTTTGTAATTTTGAGACATTTTGTAAGTTATTTTATCTTATTTGTTGATATTTAAGTTCTTAGATATTAAGTTTAAAAAATAAACTATAACAAATCATTTTTTTTTTAGTGTTTTCAAATAGAATTGAAAAGAAATTAGTTAATTTGAGTGGTACTATTCCCGTTACATTTAAAGGTAAAATTACTAATTTAAGTTTATAATTTTGTAATTTGTAATATTATTATAAGAATAATTAATTATCTGATTTTACTTTTAAAGGCACTACTTATCACATTCCAATTAGTATCTGGTTAATGGATACACATCCAAATAATGCACCAATTTGTTATGTGAAACCTACATTGGATATGCGAATTAAAATGTCGATGTATGTTGATCATAATGGTAAAATCTATTTGCCATATTTACATAATTGGACTCCGGTAATTCATTAAAATATAATTATATTTAACTTTTGCCAATTTTTAATTTTTAATTTTTACCTTTTTAGACTACTTCCAATCTACTTGATTTAATTGGAGTAATGATAGCAACTTTTTCAGAAACACCACCTGTATATTCAGTTGTTAGATCTGAACCACCTGTAAACTCTGTTACTTATCCTACTCAAATGCGTAAGTTTAATTTATATGCTATATACTTACTAATTTGGTTAAAAATGTGTAAATATCGTAATTATAGTTCAATCAAAGTTATTAGTCAGTTTTATTAATATTCTGTGTAGAGTGACTAGTCCACACTTATCCAAATTTATATATTTTATAAATCCTAAAACAATTAATAAATTATAAAAATAGAAATAACATTAAGTATAATATGTTTTTATAATTATTTTATGAATAAATAATAGTTATCAATTTACAAAAGAAATATTTGCCCAGCAAATATTTGTATGAAATTAAGCTAGTATAGTCAAGTACTTTGTTTAATCATGTTCTTTTCATTCTTATAATATTGAAAAATAATTTTATTTTGTCTCATTATAAATCTGAAAATATAAATTATGACCACCTTAAAAATACAAAATGTATGTAATTGATTGTACTAATTAACATTAAGAAGGAAACTCGGCAATTAACTTGTACACTGTTGTGTATATTATATGGAATATGAACAAATGGTTGACTCTGTGTTGGTGATAAAAGATAATCAAGTGATATCTGATCATTGCTTGTTAAAAACTGATTGTTGCTGAGGATCTTTCTTAACGTGATTGGAGTTAAGTTTTAATTATTATTAACAATTTTTTCATTTATACATTTAGCTTATGGTGGCACTGGTTCAAATGTGATGTTGCCATATTCGTCAATACCATCATCTACTTCTACTTCTAATCCTTCCACAACATACCACGGAAATTCTAATACTCCTTACCCTTTGTATAGCAATCAGTTTCCGACACCTTCCCCTTATCCACCAGGTTCAGCAAATACATCAAATTTTCTACCTTATACTCCACCATATACAGCTCAAAATTCTTCACAAAACTGTCCATATCCACAGCAACCTGCACCAGCTAGACCAGAATATCCTCCTTACCCACCAACTTCTAGTAATGTGCCAAATACTTCTACCACAGGGGTAAGTTTATTTTATTTTTTTTATATGAATTAATATATTTATCAGGTATCCTAAAGTATGAATAAAAAATATTTTTACAATAATTATCATTTGTATTAATTTATTAAATACAAAATAATAATTATTTATTACCTGTAACTTTTCAATATCATTATTTATTGACAATCAGTAATTCATTAAATACTATGCAAATAAAAGTCTGACATGATTAAATACAAAATAAAACGTTTTATTGTATTTTTGTATATTATACAGTGAAACTATACCATTTATTTATTGTATGGATGAATAAAAAATAAATACATTTTTATTTTTGAGAATTGGTAGTATGTCTCTTAATGTGAGTTAAATTTGAAAATAAGGGCCATTTCTACTTTCCACAACCATTATTAAGAGAGCGCCTATTTTTTTAGAAGTATCTATTATTTGTTTCACTGCTTATGTATATTTTATAGAATGTCCACTAACATACTATATTGTGTAAAGCATAATTAATATATATATATATATCTGAAGATTTTTTTCTTTACATTTATTTTCCTTTTATCTCTATTTATACCTTATCATAAATAAATACTTTTGAATTTATTACTACCTTTAGTTAAATGATGGCGGTACAATTACTGAAGAACATATCAAAGCTTCTTTATTATCTGCTATTGAAGATAAAGTACGAAGGCGTTTTAATGAACAAATGGCCCAGAATAAAGCCGAATTAGATATATTACAACATTCTCAACGAGAATTATCACTTGGTAAAAATAAATTAGACTCTATTTTGACAAGTCTCAATAAAGAAAAGGTATGCAGAAATTCATCTTATTAAAGTTCTTCAGTTTTGCTAATACATTAAAATATATTATTTTAGTCTGAACTAGAACAAAACATTCAAGTATTGCGTGATAAAGAATTAGAACTTGAAATGGCTATTTCCAAGTTATCTAAAGAAGATAATATTGATATTGACGATGCTGTCACTACAACGGCACCTCTTTATAAACAGTAAATATATATATACTATATACATTTGTATTATTTAAGTTACTAATTATTTTTATAATTATTAGAATATTGAATGCATTTGCTGAAGAAGCTGCGACTGAAGATGCAATTTATTATATGGGAGAAGCATTAAGAAGAGGTGTAATTGATCTTGATGTATTTTTGAAGCAAGTACGTTCCCTCTCTCGTAAACAGTTTATGTTGCGAGCTTTGATGCAACGATGCAGGCATAAGGCTGGTTTAGTGGCTTAATTCAAAGTTAATTAACTAACAAAATAGAGATAAAATTTACAAAATAAGATATTTAATATTCATAGTTAAATAAAATGAGGTAAAACAAAATTTTTTGCAGTATATGTATGTCTGTTGCAAGTGTTGCAACTATTAAAATAGAGATTAATAATATGCTAAATTTTGTTAGTTTTATTTATAATTTTATCGACCAAATCATTTTAATTTTTATTATACATCTTTAATATTTTTTTACTACAATAAATGTGAACACAATATTTCTATTATTATATCTCTAAAACAAATATTATTTCATTAATTCTATCATTTTTTTTTTTTAATTTGTAATATATAACATATAATATATTATCAATTTTATATTTTGTTTTAAGAAACAAAAAAAACACTTCATGTTTATAAAACAAAATGTTTTTAATTTAAAAATGTATTTAGACATATTCAATTATTATTCATCTGTAAATGCAATAGTTATACTATAATTATACTCAATTATTACAGCTAAAAATGTATAATATAAATATAATACCTTATTTTATTAATAAGTAATAAAATGGACTTATGCATATGTGTATATGACCCAAGAAATTATTGTACTAAATGTTTACAATTTATTTTAGAGATATGTTACTACATTATTTTGTATAAATATTGTATACTCATAAAGGTTTATGCATCTAAGGAATGATACTACTTTAATCATATTTAACCCATTATATTTTTAGCTCAATTGATAAAATTGAATTGGCCATTTATAAATTATTATTATTGTTTTAGTTTATTACATGCTTTAATATAACTAATACAATTATGTGTAATATATAGAAGTTAAATTAAACCTATATATATATATATGTGTGTGTGTGTATATATTTTATTTTATTGCTTTTGAAAATTCTAATTCTTAATTCCATAACTTATCATAAGTTTTTTATAAAAAAATCTAAAATTATACCATTAAACAGAGTATTTGTTATTATAAAATACAAGAGAAATTTTAAGTATTTATATTTAAATATCTATAATTTTTTACCTAAATTCTGTGGACTATCATCATCCATCTAAATTAGACATTATATTCTTAACACTTATATAGTGATACTGCTAATGTACTAAACATCATCCAAGGATACAACCTTAGTACATAAATTAACTATACTACATACGGTATTCTTGTCGTATGCGGTCTTCCGCACATTTGTCATCTACCACACATGTTCATATGCAGTCTACCACACGTTCATACACTTTTTATCTATTAATGATAACTTTCAACGATTCGACTGCAATGACGATTAAGTTTTATCTTAACGATGTGATTTCTATATCAATAATAAAATGCTTGCTATAATAAAACTTGGGTCCTGCCAAAATCGTGACTGTAGTCATAAACGTATAAGATATCAGTTCAGTTTGTGTTGTAATACTTACGTGATCCGTTATTCTTCAGTTTATTTACTGCACTTTTTAACATTATGTTAGCCAAACATTACGTAGGTATAAAAAGTATGTTATAGACCGCATATGACGCAGTGGCGTAACTGAGTGCTCGCAGACCCCGCGCTGCGGGGGAGAACATAGTAATTTGGGGCCTTCGGTTATAGGGTTATATTTGGTATAACAATATTTTAGGGGCCCATTTTTTATTTTAGCAGGGGAATCCAAATTTTTTTGCTACACCACTGATATGACTTATAAAAACATGTAGTAGACCGCATATAACATGTAGAAACGTGAGGTAGACTGCATACGACAAGAATACCCTACATACTGCTTTGTATGGAAAATTTTTTTTTCATGATTAAAATAGTTATACATAATATTTTGAAATTGAAACTTATAATTTTAAAAAATGGGAAGTACATTTTTTTTTAAATTGAAAATATATTTGGAATAAAATTTATGTTGGAATTATAAAATTAATGATTTACATAATTTATTTAAAAACAGTTATTGCTTTTGGGAGAGAAAAAAATGGCATATTATTTCATGAGCTAATGTACCAAACTTAGGTAAACAAATAATAATCAGTGTTTTTAACAACTTAAGTATTTAATACATTAGGATTGAATATTTTTTAGAGTATATTTATGTTATATCCTATAGGTAATAGATAATAAATATTTTGTTATTTTATATTAAAAAACTGATCATCCAACAATACATATTATGTGGCTTTGGTTGGATTAATGATTGAACAAGTGGTTAGCTCTAGCTTATACTTAATAATACTATGATATTGTTTATAATTAATTTATAACTTATTAAAAAATACAATTTCAGGTTCTGATACTATTCATAAAATACTGCAGGCCCCATCATATATAACGATAAAACATATTTTTTAACATTATGCTTTGACAGGTATAATAAGTAATAACCATAATATTTCAGTCTGATTTTGGAATTACAGTGAGACAATATTTGTAGTAGCCTTACCTAAATTTACTATATAAAAGAATCAATGTATCACATTATTATTTTGTTTATTAAAAATTATTTTATATCAATATTGATAAAGTTTTTTTATGCAGTGTGAACATTTCCATTAATTTACTAGCTATAAATGATGTATTTGTTAGTTAGTCCCATGTGAAACCGATTTTTTTTATAAAAAAAAAAAGTATGATTTTATTACTATGTGACAACTATTAGTATCAACATCGATGAGACCTCTTTTAAAATACTTCGAATTAGTTTTTTTTAACTATGCTTAACATTTTAATAGTTTATGAGAATTTATTAAAATTTCTCATATTAAATCCCCAAGATAGCAAGTCTATTGTAATTTTAGACTTAGTAAAACTGGGGTCAGTTCTAATACCTATAAATAATTCAATAATGTTTTTAGTTATTATAGTTTATTTATTTAAATTTCTTACAAATATAATAAGTAATAACCAATTAACTTAAGTAGAGAGAATCATAAACTATGCCAATAAAATACATCTTTTCTCTACCTAATCTTGGAATTAATAAGTTTAAAAAATGCAACATCTAAATTTTTAAATAATTAAAATTTTGATTTTGTTTGACAATAAATAATTTATTTTATACTTATGATCAATTCTATAATTAAGTATTGTATTATTAATAATTTTGCCATTTATTTTTAAATACAGAGTATTAATTATGAGATTTATATATCATATAGTAGATTAGTATATAGGTAGATACCCAAAATGTATTGCTATTCATGATTTTTTGCTATAGTTATAATGCATGATTTAGAAATTAATATTTTATTTTTATTATACTTCGCTCAAAAAAATGAAATTTAAAATTACTTATTAAAATAGGGATAACCATAACTAATTATTCCTTTAAGGAAATAACTGTGTAATCAAAACTTACAATACAACAAATAATAGTTGGTAAATTTAACGTTATTAACACATTTATTATATTTTTAAAAAATGAAAACAAAAATAATTTATTAGGAAAGTAGTTTCGATTGGTGATAGATATATAATAGGGATTTCAATTGATATTGTACAATATTTACATATAAATGTTAAATAACAAGATACATTTATCCATATTTTGCATACTCATTAGTATAGATTATATGTATAAATATTGTTTTATTGCATATAATAACTCAAAATAGTTTTTTTAAATTATGTGTTGAGAAAAATATAATAATAATAATAATAATAATAATAATAATTCATTATACATAAATCCCAACCCATAGTAATAAAAACAGAAGGCCAAAGCCAGTAAATAAGGCAGCTACAAAGGATATGGTTAGTTCTTTTTTCAAATTTCTAGTATACTTTGTACCAGTTACTTCATAGACGAAAAACCATGCCGTGAAAAACACACCAATGCTGAGCAATAATAAGGTGAGATGTGGATAAACTGCTGGGCTAACTGGAGACACATACCGCTTGTACAGTGTCATTGTGCTAAACAAAAATAATAAAATTCAGTATCATTTTAGTTTTGTATTTAACAAAACACTAATAATAATTTATAATAACACATATTTTGATATAGTATTATTGGTATAAGAAGTTTTTATAGATATATTTGTTGTTGAAGTACAAATTTTGTTTAGATTTAGGGTATAAGATAGCTATATAAACCAAGTCATTAATTTTTTTCAAAATATAAACAATAATTTAAGAGACCTATTGAAATACTGAGCTAGGCCAAATTAATTTACATTATTTCACTATCACATTTACAGTGTTGTTAAATAGGTTCTTAATCCATATGTTTATTTTACCTTTGTGCTTGCATATGAAAAAATGTAGATACCTTTTATTTTTATTATTATTGCTATAAACAAAGGTGAGAAAAAAAAAAAAGTAAATAAAAAAATAAACAAGATTTTATTTTAAAAATATACAATTTTTCTAAGATATTTATAATTTAGTACAAAATAAAATTTCCTAAACATATTAATTAAAATTAAATAAAAATAATGCATTTTCTATAGCTAATGCTTTATTATAATTATAAATTTAGTTTAAATAAGTGCTATGAATGTTTAAAGTTAGTAAAAAGAAAAACTGTACACTTTGATTTAAACAAAATATTATTGTATTAGTAGAGATTTATCATTTAAGACATCTACCAAAAGCTGTTTGTCATGTAATACATCATCAATTTCATTTTTATCCCAAAGTAACAATACTTTTGATAATATATTTATTCTTTGTCCTAAGATCTTGATTACACCTCTTGTTTCTAGTAATGAACACATGGTTATAAATTCGCTTAGATCTTTTACTTGAATGTTGCGTTTTTTACAAATAGTAGTAAAGACATTGAATACTTTTCCTATGGTAATTACTTGATTTTTTTTAGCAGAAGACAATAATAATAACAATGCACATACCACTAATTCTTGCTGTAATGGTAATTTTTCAGAATTTTCATCATTATTATCAAGTGCGCTAGAAGTAGAATAAACATTATTCAACACAGCTATCACATCATTCAATTCAATTTTTTTGTCAATTTTATCATCTGCCAACTCGATAACTCTTCTCGTAACATCCAATGCATAACGTATATCACCTCGAAAAGAAGCAATTTTTGCAGATAAAAGTTGAATTGCATTTGCAGGAAATAATTCTGCAACCCCTGCGTTTTCTAATCTATGAGATATGATATTAGCTAACTCCGTTTTTGTATATGGTGGAAAATTCAATAGTTCTGGTTGCAAAGAAACTTTAGTTTTCAACATTGGCAATAATCGGTCTGTAAGATCTAAAGAGTTTGCAATACCAATAACAACCAAATTAGATTGAGGAATGATCGGCCACTCATATATTTGATACAATATTGATTGATTTTTAGATGATAGTTGATCGATTTCATCGAGTACCATAAGAATAGATTTGTGTTTAGTTTTTAAGTACTGCTCAATGATTGATATGCATTCCCTTTGTGTACCTGATTTAATTTTTAACATTTCAACAATTTTAGCATAAACACGATTTGCCGATTTTATCATACTACAATTTACATACACTTTAGTGAAGTTATCAGTAACCAAATCGCTGGCAAACAATGAGTGAAGTGACACAGTTTTACCGGTACCCGGTGGTCCAGATATGTACATAGAAACCGAGCGGTGGTCTTCGAGGTGTTTTTTCAGAAACGATTTTAAACATTCTATGTGCTTCTCTCTCCCTGGAAGCGAATCCGTAAAACCGCTGTGCAAATTCAACAGCGCTGTGCCAAAAACCGATTTCTTCTGATCGCTAGTCATTTCACGGAATAAATAGCACCACGTTCAGATGATTAAAAATGACACGATATCATCCGCCAAACTGTTAGTATTAAAAACGAACTGTAAACCGATGTCGGAGGGAAGTAGTTAACAAAACGTGGAAAAGCTGAGGCCAAAAAAAAAAAAAACGCCGGTCACAAGCACAAAATGAATAACTAATTTATGATTCAAGTAGGATTAATAAAAGAAAAAAACAATTTACCTCGTCGAGTCCGCACGGTCGTCGATCGTCGAATATTGTATTTCGTATTATTGTCTTCGAGTCTCGAGAGGGTGAACCACCGTTATTGTCGTTTGCCGGTTTTTCACAGTGGTAATCCCCCTGCTAATATATATATTTATATAATAAGTATGAAAAATATAAATAACAATTTATTACGCGTGTACGATCACTGTGTATACGGTATACGTATTAAAAGATAAAGTTGGTAACGATATCTATCGCTGTCCGTGCGTCGTTGTACATAAATGAACTTAGCACCGGATACCGATTTTTCGTTTTTTTATTTTTATTTTTTTGTAAACAAAATAAATTGAGTTGAAATCGCGTACGCCGTACACGCGTCATTGTCGATCCCATATCTATTGACGACAATATTAAATATTAATATTATTATATGTTTTATCAATATGTCAAACTACAGTTAATGACACAGAGTAGATAGAATTTTACTTGGATTTAAATTCTTAGTTCTTACGTTTGAATTTTATCCGATCTGTGATAAAATTACTAATACATATTATTATTATTGGTTTATTTCACCTACAATTGAACAATAACAACATGAATAACACAATAAAATTAATGTTTTGGAGTAGCGTATTTGAGTAATTGTCGTGTTGGTGAAGGAGTTGGGAAGGGGGACGAAATATGTAATTAGTGCAGTTCATATCGCGTCCGAGTGCGGCGTATGTATGTGTGTGTGTGTGTGTTTGGGTTCCGTGATATCACTGTATCAGCGCCTACGGTCGAGTGATCGACGACCTACTAGTTAATACCCTACATGTCTGTGTTGTTGAAATTTTGGGACGGTTTATTTATTTTTTTTACATCGTCTACTCGTCATTTTTTCCGTCTATTCACTTAAAATTACCTACCATTGCCTACACTACAAAATGCTGCTGACATCTGAGACTTCCCGACGTCTTGCTCGACACGACACTGCGGCATAAGACGTATACACTCAATTTCGATTTTGGTGACAAATGATCTTTTTTTCTGTAACTTTGATCAATCAATATTTTTGTCGCGTCTGGCAATAGACGCAACTACTACAACGTTACATCACAGTCGTGACGGACAGTGCACGACGGCCATGAGAAACATTTGTCAGTGTGATGAATGAGGACGAGATAGCCGATAAAGTATACGAGGAGAGAGAGAGAATTGTCGATCTGTACAGGAATGGACCCGGGGATGGAACGATTATAGATCCTGTTGATGATCCCGCTTTCAATGATTATTACAAACTTGACAGATTTGGATTCATAATAGGGTATGTACCTACACATTTACAATTTTACTGTTAATTGTTTTGGTTCAAAATTTTTACAAATTCTTTCCCAGCGATGAGTCAAAGTTTAAAAAAGAAGATCCTCAAGAAATAAAAATCGAAGTAACTCGTGAACAAAAATGGCTGAAAATGATCTCCAATTGGGATGGTCTGTCCCGAGAAAAACTCAAAAGACGTGTTTTCAAAGGCATTCCAAATTCTTTACGAGGTATAGTTTGGGCCAAACTATTAGGTGTCGATCAACTCACAGATGATCAGAAAAATAAATACAAAGTAACTAACTATTTAGCTATCAGAATGTATTAAATATTTATAGTTATTATTGTTTTAAATAATCTACTTTAAATTTCATACAATTATTTAGATAGATTAATACATCAGCTATTTTTAATATAATAATATTTAAGTTTATGATATCTAAGTTCTAAATTTCTTTTTTTTACTGCATTCTTATTAAATATTTGTTTTATATAGCATATGTGTGAGCTAGCATGGCAGCATTCACCAGATGTGAGACAAATTGATTTAGATGTGAATCGAACATATCGAGAACATATCAACTTTCGAAAACGTTACAATTTCAAGCAACAAGAATTATTTAACATACTGACTGCATATAGTATTTATAATTTAGATATTGGTTATACTCAAGGAATGTCACAAATTGCAGCATTACTATTGATGTATTTAAGTGAAGATGAAGCTTTCTGGGCATTGTCTACTCTTATTTCCCATAGCAAGTATCATATGCATGGTGAGTTTAATTTATTAATATACAAGTAGACTTTTCATAAATTAAAATTTGAAATAAAATTGATTTATCCAGTTTTATTTTTTTGTTTACCTTAAAATTGTGGTTATCAATAGTCAATTGATTGAGTAAATAATTTAAATAATTTTATACTTGAATAACTCTTAAACTTAAATATTTTAGGTTTTTTTTATACCTGGATTTCCTAAGTTGATACGCTTTCAAGATCATCATGATAAAATAATGAATAAGTTATTACCTAAGTTAAAAAAACATTTGGATAAAAATGGAGTTGAAACTGGATTATATACTTTAAAATGGTTCTTTCAATGTTTTTTGGATAGAGTATGTACATTAATTGATTTATATTTGTTAGTTTTTTATATTTATAAATTGTATACAATGTTTAGATACCATTTAAATTGACTTTAAGAGTATGGGATATTTTTTTACTAGAAGGTGACAAAATATTATCAGCTATGGCATATTGTTTATTAAAACTACATCGCCACCAGCTATATGCCTTAGGAATGGATGATATACTTAATTTTTTGCAAGTAAGTCACAGAAATCATAATGTTTAAATTTCAATATCAATACAATATGATTATTTAAAGTTTCAGTTTTGCAATATTATTTTTACTATTGAATTGTTATATTAATATGAATACAATTCTCAAAAGTAAAATTATATTAATGGTTAGCACTTGTTTATTGTTGAAACCATAGTATAGAGACTGATATAGTGTGAGATATACACATCGCTTATGGTAGGACAATGTCCTACCATATATATGATATATATATATATATAAATTATTTAATACTACATAACATTTACTATGCAATTTACAATTTGTTTTGATTATTATTATTATTTTTATCTTAATTAATTAAATTTTTATTTCTGTGATTATTTTCAAATCAATTTAATTGAAATTGTCTTTGATTGTTTGATAGTATATAAAAGTAAATAAAGTGTTTATTTACAAAAAAAATATTGATTATATTTCATAGTTTAATGTTATAACATTTATTAATTTTGTTTTATAATGGTTCAATGAATAAATTAATTTATACATACATTTAATGAACATTTATTAATAAAAAGGTCAAATTGGAACAAAATTATCAACATACAGCAGATTATACCATTGAAAAACTTCAAGAATGTCTTATTGAACTAAAAAAAAATAAACTTGACAATGCTGGTCTGCCATCTCCAAGTGAAAAGTTGAAGAGAGAGCTTGGAATATTTAATCCTGATGATATCCCTGTTAGAAAGGTAAGACTTCTTTATAGTCAGTCAATCATTATTAAATAAAATCAGTAAATGAAAAAAAATGTTTTTCAGCCACAAATCAATGGAGTGGAAAAAAAAAGAAAACCTATAAATACAGACCAAATTCATAGTTCACCTGAACAGGATTCACAACTCCAAGGTGAGTGGACTAGATTGTGAACACTTGCCTGATGATATAATAAAACTTATGGTGTCTATTAAAACTAGTCTTCCATTTAATTTAAATGCACAAGTTACAAAGTTCTTTTCATTTATTTAGGATATCTTAAAAAAAAAATCGCTTTTATTTTTTTTTTTAGTTTAACATTTTATATAATACAGCATCAACATGCCGTGATAGTTTTTTTATTTGTAGAAATTTTTTAGATATTTTTTATGATTATTATTTTTTAATTAAACATTTTGTAAAATAACTAATGTTTTTGTTATTTATAGTTGTAAAAAATATTAATTATTATACTTTTTATTAGAATAAATACTGTAAACAGATGTGTTGTTAGCTTTGTTAAATGTGTATTAAACTGTTAAAATATAATTCACACGTCTAGTAAATTGAATACTTTTTGAAATTAGTATTGTTCCTTTGAAAAAATATGGCTGTTCAATAACAATGTTTACCAATAGTCTTAACTTGTTTATATTAGGCATATTCATTTTTAGTCAAAAGTTTATTTTAACTGTGTTATGCAATTAATTTTTATTTGCTAACACAAAATTGTTGTTTCTATTACCTTATTATTTATTTTTGAGTACAACTTTACAACAAAACTTTTTTCATTATGAATTGATGGCTTATCAAGGCTTACTCATTTATTGTAAATTTATATGTATAATATTTTACAATTATTACATTTAATAATTATTTTTTATCTATATTTTATAAATAAAAAAAGTATTTTTCAATTATTTGTTGTGTTTTAAATGTAAATATTATGTATAGATATCCCTAAGTTAATTATATTTAAAATGTTAGGAATTTAATATTTTAATATCATTGTGATTTTAATTGTTTACTATAACAATACAAAACGTTTATACATATTGTTTCATTGGAAGATATAATACAACACATTTGTAACATCAGGAAATTGTAAGAAAGTTGAACTACAATATCATTTTGTAATAGCGTTTTTTTATTTTTTAATTAGTAGATATGTTTGGCAGATTTAATCTGTGAAAAATTTTTTTGTTGCATGTAAAATTTGTATGTAAAAATTGGTTTGTTTATTTTGATAATCTCTCTTCATTTTACTTATTCAAGGTGAGTAAGACACAATTTAAAAATATGTTTTTTCATATCTAACTTATATTATAAATTATATATATTTTTAGTAATGAAAAAAGAAAATCTAATCCTAATATTAACAAATAATAAATCAAATTCTACCAACTATTTTAAATTATAATTTTATTTATACAGAACACATTATAAATAAATATATTTATTAATGAATTTTTTTTCAGGTTCAATTATTACAAATGGTAAAAACAGTTTAGACGATGTTAGCTCAATTGTTGGTGACAGTTCTAGACGCTCATTGCTGGACACTAGTGTAACTTCTGCGGCTACAACTACAGTATCTCCACAAAGTATACAAAATGATGATACTGGATCGGATGTAACATGTGTGAGCCCACAGCCCGATGTGCTTCGCATTTATGTGCCATACGATACTCCTACAAAGAAATCTCCTACTTCTGTTGCAAACAAAATTACAACAATACAGGTGATGGACGAGATGGTCACTCCTACTGTGGAAACAGATGGTATGTTTAAAGCGGTGTCTACTATAAACTAATCATTTGTTGAATTAGTGATATACTAAATTGGCTGTGATTGAATATATAGTTGGTGACTACGACTATAAGCAGTGCTACTTTCGTTGTAAATTGGTTATACCATTTTTGTATTTTTGTGTACAGTACATAATTTGTTCTTGACAAGATGCTTAGATGTAGCTTAAGACTAACAACTGAAATAACATTAAATAACCATATAATTTATACCTCAACAAGTCATTAATTTAAAATAATTAATAATAAAATGGTGCAGAAACTAAATTAATAGCTGTTAACTCCTATGTTGATTTTAATTATTTGCAACATTATTTTTAAAAATAAATATAATTTCCCATTAATTACATTTTAACTTCAATAATCTATACTTATTTTATTTTCAGTATAATTTGAAGTATCTTTTGCCTAATGTTAAATATTATTTCAATTTCTTAACTATATTTAATGAAATAGAGATACTAATGTTCAAGAAAACAATAACTATGTTTGATAAACTTTATTTATCTTGCATGATATTTAAAATTTTGAGTTACGTAAAATTATAAATAATGCTAACATAACTATTTTGACTCCCTAAAAAGTTTAAATGTTCTAATTACAAAATAGCTAATTTATAAAAATTAATGCTATTTATTAACATTGTTTTTTTCATTTTTATGATTAAATTAGATCTCTTACTTAAATTACAAATATATTCACTTGTATGTGATTTAGAATATAGTTAATTATTAAGCTACTGTCGTTTCTGAAATTGTACACATTATACCAAAAACAAACATTACTTATTTTTATTTTACTAAAATATAATCGAGATGGTTTACCTCAAATTTAATATGTATTACCTTTTAATCAGATTAAATTTGACTAAATACTTGATTAATAAAATCATTAGTATATTTCTTAGTGTTAATAATTAAAATAAGTATAACAACAATGTTATATTATATTATGATATAATTACAGTTTCTTATTAAAAGTATGTTCACTATTTTACTATCAGTATTAAATTAAAAAAGATAAGTATCAAAGTAATAAAAAAGTTAACTAATTAATTTATGTTGTAGTTGAATGATTTAATTATTTTGGTTAATTGTAAAAAAAATAATATTTTTATTTTTTATTTTAAATGTTGATTAGAGAAAAAATACTTACGGACGCCATCATTATGTAACTGAATGCTCTCTTTCAATATAAGACTAAATTCATTATTCATTCCAGACATTTTGTATTTTGCACAAATAAATAATATATATATTAAATTAGTTAAGGTTGCCAGTTTACTCAACTAATATTAATGTATTAGAAATAATAATTTATTTTATGAAAGAAAAATTATGTGTATTTTGACATAAAAATAAAATGTTTTCAACAAACGCCTTAGATTGTCTTATAAATTAATATATTATATATTTTTAATAATTCTACTTTAGTAATTACTACTTCTATATTATTATTAAGTTGTATTTTATGTCATTAGATGTTAACTTGGTGTTCAAAAGACAAATAGATGTTACAACTTATTTTACTTAGAATTGTTAAAACTTGTTTTGTAATTTTAACATTCTGTATAGATGTGAATTTTAAATTTAAATGTTTTTGTTATAAATGGGAAAGATGCAACTTGAACAAATAGTTTTGATTATAATTTATCGATTGTATACAAACTGAATGATTAATTATAGAGAAAACATTATATTAATTTCATTGTATAAAAAATATTCTTTTTAATAAGTACGAGACTGTGAACATTAAAAAACAAGGAAATAGTTTCTTGAGCGTTCAATTTTTATAATTTATATGCATTTTAATTTTTAATTATTAACTTATTGTTATTGATAAACACTGTACTGTAGCTATTTAAAATAATTAAAATTTATCAATTACAATATCATTGTATTTTATTATTATTTATATATTATACGATTATACCTAAATATATATTTAAAATTATTTGTTTTATTTTTTGGATATACTTTTATCAAATTGCAAGACTACTACAGTACTACTATTATTATAAACAGTTAAAAGAAATTAGATTTACTTTATAATAACATTAAATAACACATCAGTCTCATTTGTTCTTTATGATAAAATTAGAATTTTATGTTTGTTTGTTATCAACATTTGTTTATGTAATAAAATTTCTGTATAGATGTATCATTTTGTTAATTTATAAATATATATGTATTTAGGACTATGTAGTGTAACTATAGACCTAATGGCTTAAATATTTATATTAAAGAGTGACCCTATCAATTTAAATGGGTGGTGCTAACGGTAGACACTAGAATGACTATATAGTTTGAGACATACACCTATTCTTCACCTGCCTCAGTTTATCACCCCAAAGTGATCACCTATTATTATCCTATTTCCGCTAAACATAGATTTTCATATTTAATGATTTAAGATTTTTCATAAACATAGGTACATTACAGGTTTCATTCAATGATAAGGTACATTTGAGTAGATACTTGACAAGTCGACACCTATTGTTACTTAAATTGCTCTTTTTTATTAAATTCTGTATTAGAGACATATACAGTGCGAAAATCACAGACTGTAATTGTTATCCCTAATGATCCTCATAACTCATTATTAAATCATCATAAGTACATCCATAAATGAAATATAATCAAGAGTAAGGAATTTATATTTAAACTAATAAATAAAATTATTATCTTTAAGTTATTATGAACATGTAAAATATGAGTTATGATAGCACAATAAATGTGAAATGGAAGGCAGTGGTTTTTACATTTTTCACAGAATTCAGATTTTATAGTCTGCATTTTTAAATTTTAATATCAAAAAATTATCATTTATTAAAAATTAAAAACTTATGACTCGTAAACTCGCAATATTTTGATCACAATAAAAGGATTCATAAAAAATACCTATCAGAAAATAATAAAAATTACCATAGTGAAATAAAACATTCAACATGATCAGATTGTTGGGTAAAAATTAAAAATATATATTTATTAAAACTAATTCTTTAATATGTTTACTCAGTGATAAATTATCTACTATGAACTTTTATAAAATATGTTTCAAATTGATGTTCAACAGTTAGGCTTAAACTAACCTACCAATACCTGTCAGAACAATGGAGTTAAGAGACTAATTATAGGATGCTAAGCATAAATAAGGTTTTAAAACCGAGCCAAAAAAAAAAAAAAACAACAACCAATAAGATCTTATTCCATTTTTTTTTTTTTTTGGCTTAATGAATAAATGGTTTATGTAATTCTGTTTGACAAAAAAAAAAACAAAAACATACACAGTATTAGATACAGATGTATAAAAAATTAAAACAGAGTACAGGCAAATCAACAATACACATCATCACACACTAATCATATTACTGTACAAGTAAAAATATACTTTAAAAATCAAGGGAATTTTTAAGAATAACTTAAACAGTGATTCACCAAGTATGTACACTTATATTTAAAAAATGGTGTTACAAAAATACAAAATAGATATTATATTTGATTTAGTATCATACCTGATTACTTGAACTATTATTATAAATTACTAAAATAATTATCCTCAGTTTAAATATTTCAAAAACTAAAAAAAACACTAGTTAAAATTTTAAATCAGGTACATCAATATTTTCAATAAAACCTATAAACTAAATAATTCACAATTTCTCACATTTTGAAAAACAGAAGTACTCAACTTCAATGAACACTCCAAAGGTAGTACAAAAAAGCATATTTAAACATGCTAAAAATCAGATTTAAAATTATTGCAATATTGAAAAAAAGAGAGTAAGCACGCTTGGTGAATCTCATCTAAGAAATTTATATTAATATCCTATACAATAAAAAAGGCTATTTCTTTAGAAAATACCATAAAATATGACAAGTAGGTAGTATCGTTGTACAAAATATGGTAGTAAATATTGTTAATTACATAAATATGTGTACTTGAAATAAACATTTTACTTTTTTTTATTCAATTATGAAACATAAACAAATTATTATGTTTAAAGTTGTTCTAGGCTTTTTCTTGAGTAGAAAGTAATAAATTAATTCGTCAAAAGGCTTTTAATCACATAAAATAGATTACAAAATTGAAAACTATAAGATTAAAGAATATTATAGTAATTAAGTTGAATTAATATAATAAATGAAATAAAAAACAGTGATTTTCTATTAAAATATCGGCACAGCAATTTAGATGTGTAATACTAATTTTATTATAGTACAAAAATAACCAGAAAATCTGTAACATAAACTATTATAATACAGCATACAGAATTTGGTTTGATGTATTAACCAACACACGATAATGAAAATAAATTAAGATAGATATTTAAAATTCTAAGACAGTATCAAGCTGTAATTAATGAGTAATTGAGTGATTTATAAAAATCAATCGCTATAAATCACTTACAAACCCATAACAATAATTTAAGACATTAGGTGTTTATATGTAAATTATAATACTTCATAAAATGGTGACGTTCGTATGTAATAGTTTCAAATGGTCAGACAATTTCTCAATTCATTACAATTTACTGATAATAAATCTACTTTACAATTACATTAAATCGTAGAAAAATCTGTTCAACGATTGATGGGCAGCAAATGTTTAAAATATCCTACATCTAAGTTCTAAATTACATATAAATGAAGTTGAATCTGAAAAAATAATATACATATTAATAAAAAGAATAAAATTTCTAATGGTAATAAATATATGAAATAATCAATATGTTACCTTCCGAGTGCTTGAGGCAATGAGGAAATAATAGATCCATATCCTTGAGCGTTATCAAACAGCTCAAACAAAGGGGCTGCCACCAATTTGTAATTTTTCGGCACAGCAAACAATGCTAAAGAACAATCAAATTACCACACAATTTATAAACAGAAAATTTGTTATATAATCATATTGAATTTACAAACAAATCAGTAAATGTAATACATAAAATAGTATATTTCAATTAAAAAGAGTAACAAATTACACCTATATATAATTTTACAATTGATTTTAATGTTTGTTTAAAAATATCTGTACAAAACAAATGTACACAATAAAATTTAAGGATAAGCAAATGTTGAATGACAGCTTTGTACAATAGGTCTTAACTGGTATTTTTAAAATTTAATGGAATTTTTTGAAACGCTTACAAATACATTGGAATTAATACAACATTATATTAACTGTTGACAGAATTATTATATTTATATAATCACTTGACATTATTTTTAACAAACATATATGGCAACAATGGCTAAGTAAAAATGTTTATAAATAAATATTTTTTTATTATTTAAATACTCTAAAGACAATTTTGATTTTCAATGGCCTCAATAAATATTTTAATTAGATAAATAATCTTAAATGTAATAATTTTATTTAAAACATTACAAATCTTGTACACATAATTAGATATTTTAAAATAATTTATTGACAAAATAAACCCCCAATCAATTATTATTACACCGATATCAATTAATATACATATTAATTTTGGTTTTAATAATTAATACATATTATTACACTACTCTTTATTTATTAATTATTAACCATTTTAACATATAGCTCATAAAGGGAAATTAGAACATAATATAAATAGTTAAATAATTGCAATAAAAATAATAATTTAACTACTAAAACAAAACGAGATACACAGTAAACAATAAACATAGTTGTTAGTTTTGCTTTTCATCAGAATCTAATAACATGCATTCTTAATATTCTAAATTGAATATTATAACTGTACATTCAAAAAAGACATGACATTCTTGTTGTTTAAGAACAAGTGTAAAATATATCAATGTTTTTAATGTTTCATTTCTTCAAATCTATAGGGTTTAGATTAATAGCATAATAAAGCGTTCTTACATATTGCAGCTTTTTGAAGTTTTATATATTTTAGATAGAAACACAATAAAAATAAAGAATTAAGTTGTTTAACACAAATATTTTAATTTAAAATTAAGATGTTAAAAAAAAAAAAAAAAAAACAAATAATTTGATAGAACATGACGATGTTTGTACTTAAATTAGATATGCAGAATAAAATTTTGTCAACTATTCACCTAAACCCTAAAGTTTCTTTTATGCAAAGTGTAAAGTTGTTATGTTTTACATATGATACAACAGGTTTATTGAATTCTCACGATAAAATTTCAGAAAATGGAAATAGATATTACTTAAATATTTTAATTTATACAACCTATAAATAGAGAGATGTTTACAAAGCTCAATTAAGTCATCCCACCAATAGTATGATTTGTATACAAAAAAACAAAATTACAGAGTGTCAACATTGTATTTAATTAAAGAATTATATTCAAATATTATAAACCTTATTGAACCCTAAAACCTTTAAGAAGTAATATTCAATGTTTCTCAAATATAGAACAACATTGGTTATTTAGATTTTTGTTCATAAAAAAAAAAAAATGAAATTGATATAAGACGTATTTGAACAAATATTCATACTTTACGAAATTTTATAAAGGAGTATGACTGACACCCTGTATTTCAGAAAATAAAATTTATGTCCCAGATAATATATTTAATTAATTATAATAGAAAATACATTTACAATGCACTTAATCTCATTCAAAAGTGCATATGTTTGTTTATAACGATCTTAACATAAACTTAGACCCCTTTCTATGATATTTAGTTTCAGCCGATTTAAAATCAGATGTAAACTACACAGCAGTGATTAGAACAATAATCTTAAGAAATCCCTATTATGAATTTTCCTAGACAATTTTCATAAAAAAAAATACATTTCTTGTATGTGATGTTTTACAATCAACCAGGATGATCCTTTTTGAACCAGCAAATCATGTTGCCATTGCAAACTGTGAAATATAAAATAATATAATGTAATTTAACACAGGTCTTAGGTGATGTAATATACACGTAAGTTAAAAATAGAAAATACTCAAATTTAACTTTAGAGCATGTCAACTATGACCCAAAACATAAAATAATAAATTTAGAAATTAAACCTTAGGAAAAAAAGAATAAACCTCATAATAATTGTATGTTTAGAAGTTACTAATTGATAAAATAAATAATAACTCGTCATACTTATACTTACAAAATTTGGGTTTTGAATCACTAATAATTTATCTTACCTTTATCAGGTAGCTGAACTAAGAAAAGTCTTTTATGTTCCTTGGGTTTAGTTATGTGTGGTGGTATATATGGATAAGTTGGAGGTTCAAAGTTTGGTCGCCACCAATTGCCAATGGTATCTTCAACAGTCCATTCTGGCTGAACACCATCTTGTCTACCTAAAGTCTGAAAATAAGTACATGAAACAGAAATATTTTCGAATGTTTTGATAAATAAACAATTAATAGTAAACAAATGTTAAGTTACTTCAGTTAGTAATCGTTTAAGTCCTTCAACCTCATCTTCTGCTGGGTTTAGTTCTCCACCTGGCCTGAAAAATATTATTTAAAAATGTTTTATATTATTGTACTGAGTATTAAACACTTAATAATAAAGAATTTGATTTATTATCATTAGACTAAGTTCATAATTGTAATTAATTTTAATACATTTAATCTTACAATTTAAAAAATGTTGTGCCTAATTGCAATAATAAAACATGTGGCAACCCATGCTTATGAACTATTAAAACGCCTTCAACACTACGGCGCATGCCAATCTTTTCAAATTCATCACGCATTCGTTGAAATCTAGCTGGTACAGATGGGTCTTTTTCAAATAAAGGTTCTTTTGTACCAAATTTATAATTTGATAAAGGATACCTGAAATAAAAGAAGAAATAATTACTAAACAATAGTTTAAATTATAAAATTGAATTGTTTGTCGTATTATTAATAGTAGAAGTCACAAAATAAAATGTCACATTAATGATTAAATTTATATTCACTATTGATATAAATGATTGTTTTAATTAAGAATTTGATATAAATATAATTTACCATTAATTTTTAAAAGACAATGCCTATCAACAAATAAGGAGCAACTGTTTTATCTTAACATGTTTTTTGTATTTATTAAAAGTACACCCAATTGAAATCATTTTAGACCCAGTAATTAAAACTACTTAATTAATGTAACGTAGTAGTTTTCCAACGTTAAAGTAATGTTCGTTATTAAATCTCGAAGGAAATTTATCCCAATATTAGCCCAACTTGCTATTATGTTATACTAACAAATTTATGTGTCTGTTGAGCGACGGGCATGTAGACGATTTGACTGGTACGGTTCGCCTAGGCCACCCAGTTCCCGGAGATGATTGGATGTTGTTCTGTACTGGTTGGCTGGTCGTTGTGCTCAACGCCATTTCCGATACCGCGTTAGTCGACAGCTTGACGGTTTTCGATAACGACTACGACGAAATAATATTAAAAAATGGTACACCGATATCTCGCACGTCTCAACGTCAACAACACATAGTCCCCGTGAAATATATTGTTGTCATACAGCTACACTATCGATCGGGTCCACGTACGTTTTCGTTAACGATCAGCTCAATGTTATGTAGCGCAAGGGTACAAAACGCTGTAATATTTTATAATGTATAAAAATAATAATTTAAAATTGACTACTGAGTAATGACGAAGGAAGACAAAATGCACAACAAAACGCCGCCTCGTTTCCAATGTCTCACATTATAGTCATATGAACTACGAAGCGCACAAAATGGCGGAACGCGTTTGTTTTTGTTTAATGGGCATGATCATAGCAACGGTTTAGCCGGTGGTGGTTACCCCGGTCTTGATATGAGATTATTAAACTTGTATACCAAACTATATCATTTCAGTTTTTATAAATTGATAATTTAACAACCATGATGATAACATTTGAAAATTATGTGATTACGTCGTGATTATAAAAAAATTTATTTAATTTATTAATAGTTTACAATCACGATTTTAGATACTGTCTTCAGTCTTGTAAATATTACATTTTAAAATTGAAACTATATAAATTAAAGATTTTATAATTTTATTTAACAATACTCAGAACTTGTAATTTTCTACATTTTGATAATTTTGAACTTCAAATGCGTATAAAAATCATGGTTCTTATATTTTTAAAGGTATTTTTAATAATTTAAAAAAATGACCAGAATAGCTTTAGAATTTTGACCTAATGAATAAATTTTGCCTATAATCAATTTAAAAAAAGTCAAAATATTTTTAAAAATTCTACTATGTAAAGAAAATGATTATATAAACATTAGGTAGATATGTAAAAATTTTAAAGTTCTTCAATTATTTGTTTTTAAATAAATTATAGGAATCTATAAGTTATGACTTATACCTAACAAAATAAAAAAAATAAATTTTGGCGATAGCTGATTTAGCGTAAAAATCTCGTTACCTTAAATATTTGCTTTATTATTTTCTCTAACTATAAAAAAAGATAATGGGAAATTTTAACATTTAATTTTCCATTCCGTAAGTTGATAGTACCAACTAAATTTATAATGCTACCAGTAATCACCCTCAAAATTGAGAATAAAAGCAATTTATCTGTCCCAAATGGTGTTAAATCATTGTAAAATCAATGTATTCATTACTTTGCTCTGCAGAATCTAAAATAACTATAGAATAAATATGAAGGTAAAAAACAATTAATTCTTGAGAAAATAAAATAAAGTAGATAATATTTAATGTATAGAATTAATTATAAATGTTTAATAATTATGAAAATATTTTATATTAGGTATTTAAAAAATATGAGTTAATTGATGTAAAAATTAAATGTAGATACACTATTAAGATGGGAATCATTAACTTTAAATGTTTTGTAAAAATTGTAATTATACTTGTATTACAGTTATTTTCGCAAAATAAAATATTTGTTTTATTATTGATTTTTAGTTATTATTCTTATATTATGAAGAAATTAATGAATATGATAATTTAAAAAAAACAGGTGTACAAACGTCCCATAATCAAAATACGCTGGGACTTGGGTACTGTATTTTTCTGGCTACTATAAGTATTAATATTGTTACTTCTCTGGATTAAATGTCTATTAATATTTTCCAGGAACGAGACTTTTTAGATTCAGTTATGGCTATACCTATAACAAATTTTATCAGTCTTCTAAAATACCTAAATACAACATAACTTAAGATTATTTTTTATTTTTTTTTTAGTTCGAAAAAATATACATTTTGTATTTATTAACATAATATATAAAAGCTTTAAATGCATAAACATACCTATACACAATAATAAAAACAAAAAAAACTTGGAGCACATAAGGCCGATTAGGAAAGTCGTCCTCGATGGAATTCTTATTAGATTGAATTTTTAAATTAGGTAATATTAACTTAATATACCATGCTATCAACGCTTCTTACGGCGGAATGATAGGTTATCAGGAAAAGTACTACTATATTTTGAATAACTGGTCAACTATAACAATTTTCAAGTCTTTGTGTAAAGATTAATTTTTTATAGGTATCTATAGATAGGTACCACTATTAGCCGAAAGGTAGTGGAGTAAAAGGATTGAATGGTGTGGATTTGAGGTGGGTACATCCCCTGTAGTTTTACATACCATATGACGCCTAAATGGTTTCAGTAAAGATTTATACGTAGTGAGTTTTGTACAAATTGATAGCTTGGATTTGAATATAAGTCAAAGAATATAAAAAGGTCATTTAAGAGGGTTCTTTTTGTTTAAACTTTTAATAAAGAGCCTATTAGGTTAACCTTTTGTTTAATGAAAATCCTAGATATTTTACTTGTATTTTGGTATGTATCTTAACTTCTAAAAGTTGAAGTGAAGGAAATTTTTTTCCCAAGCGTGAATGAATCACTAAAAATGTTTTTTAGGATTTATTAAAATTCTTCACTAAGTCACCAGGCGTTTATTAAGTCTAAGTAATTTTGGAGATAGGTTGAAGCTTAGAGTCTGAACTGGAGATATAGCATATAGTTATATCGTTATAACAAATGTTGCTATGGTCGTACTTGCTGTAAATGGAATATCTTATGTATTTATTATAATTTATAATTACTTATATTAAATAAATTGGGGGCCAAGTCATTTCTTTAGAATACTCCCAACTCCGGCAAATATTGAGAAGTATCCAAGTAGATATGAGTAAATATACCTTGTCGAACTGAAAAAGTCCGATTATAGAGATAAGAGTAGAATAATTAGATAATAAGGAGACAGGTGCTGGAAAGAATAATTTTAATTTGTAAAGAACACCATTGTGCCAAACTCTATCAAATGTTTGGGTTACGTCGATAGAAAAGCTCGGGGACAGTATTCCTTAATTTCAAATGAAGTTTGAATTTTATTAGTATGCCGAAGTCTAGGCGTATATTTAGTGTTCTTTCGAGTGAGATGTCCTAAAGTTAAATATTGTGTTTGGGGTATCACATTTTTTGAGTGTATCAATACGACAATACCTTAATTCTTTTAAGGATAATTTTTTCAAATAATTTTGCTAATATTGGTAGTAGGCTTATAGGATGATAGTAATGTTTATTTTTATAAAGTTTATGCATAAATATTACTATGGAAAATATATAGATACTGTGATATATAGTAGGTATAATTCATAGAATTTTGGTATAATTTAAGTGGGTTAGTGCAGAGTTAGTGAGATTAATATTTTACATCTATCTTAATTCAAGTGGAACAATTTTCTATCACCTTTATTGGATTATTGGAACTTTAATAATTGT